TTAAGTCTTTTTTGAAATCATTTGGGTGTCTTAATTAAATTTCTCCATAGCCCAAGAGCTGTATCCATTTCTATTAGGCTATTACTCGAGTATCTATTGTCTCTTTTTGATTTTTTACTTTTTTAGAGTTATTACCCGTATAAACATTTTAGTACTTTCACTTTTAATAATGTATTATACACGTACAAACGTATTTCTCATGTTTAATATACCTATTTTTTTAAATTACAATAAGACACACAAAATTCACGTATTATACACATAATTATCATATATTATTGAATAAAAATAATATATATTTGGCTGTACTCAGTTTTTCCCTAATTGTCTTTTAAAAATATGAATAAAAATAGTATAGCCGATGGGCTATACTAGATTCTTTTTGAAATTTGTTAAGAATTTTTTTACTGTTCCAATTCATTTATTCATTTTTTTTATAAAGAGTATAGCCGCCAGGCTATACTCTTTAAATATCTAATGGGTGCCTTTTTGTTTTTTAAATTTTTTCTCCCTGATTTTTCTTTGTCAATAAGACTAGTATAGAGCATTATCCATTTCGTTTAGGCCATTACCAAGGTATATCTATTGTCCCCTTTTGATTTTTTACTTTTCCAGGGTTATTACCCGTATAAATAATTTAGAATTTTCCCATTTGATACTTGTATTATACACATATGTACGTATTTTTTAATAATACTTATGTTTTTCGTATACATCTTAAAGACTCGGTATAATGAAAGCAAAAGTCTAATACATGTATTGTACGCATACACACGTATTTTAAAGATTATTTAATCAGAGAACAAAAAACAAAGTCCACAAAATAATTCATTACTATTTACCAAGTAATTTACAAAATCAGTAAAATACTTAGGGCATGTTTGATATTCAACTTGAATTCAACTTTTTAAACTCGAAAACAGAATTTAATCCAAGACAAAGAAAACTTGTTTGGTAGCCCTATTTTTACAAACTCAAACTCAAGAACAACTAAAAAACACCACAATTATTAAAAACAAAAAATATATGTTTTTTTAGTTTTTTTCTGACAACCCACAAGTTCTCAAATTTTTAAGATTTGAAAACAGTTTTCAAGTTGCATATCAAACAAATTTTTGAATCTTAAAAATAGATTTAAGAACTCCTTGTTTTTAAGAAAAATAAAAGTTTTTGAGTTCCCTATTTGTATAGGATACCAAATGCCCCCTTTAATATTCACTAAAGAAATAATAATTGAAACATAATTACTAATTAAAGTAATTAAAATAATTAAAATAAAAAGGCTAAGGTATTACTTAATTACATGTATTAAAGTAAAGAAGTTAGCCAAAAAACAAAAGTAGAGAAAACGTAAAAATTTAAAAAAAAAAAAAAATAAAACAGTATAGCCGCACGGCTATACCTTTAAAATACCCGATTTACCGTTCCATGCCTTTAAATAGTATAGCCGCCCGGTGATACTCGTTAAATATTATTTTTGAGCAGTATAGCCGTCCGGCTATATTCCCAAAATCGATTATTTTAAAAGTATAGCCGTCCGGCTATACCCTGCGGATAGCAAACTAATAAAACACCATCTTCCAACCAAATTTCGTCGGTATATACCTGTGCCGATGAAATTTCATTGGGAAAAAAAAATACAAACTTATTATCTTTCGCGCCTATCTTTAAATGTCTAATGGATGCCTTTTTGTTTTTTAAATTTTTTCTCATTGATTTTTCTTTGTCGATAAAACTAGTCTAGAGCATTATCCATTACGTTTAGGCCATTACCAAGGTATATCTATTGTCCCATTTTGATTTTTTTTACTTTTCCAAGGTTATTACCGGTATAAAGAATTTATCATTTTTCCCATTTGATACTCGTATTATACACGTACGTACGTATTTTAATGATTATTTAATATCAAAGAACGAAAAACAAAGTCAACAAAATAGTTCAAAACAATTCATTACTATTTACCAAGTAATTTACGACATTAGTAAAATATTTAAATATTCACTAAAGAAATAATAATTGAAACATAATTACTAATTAAAGTAATTAAAATAAAAAGGTTAAGGTATTACTTAATTACATGTATTAAATTAAAGAAGTTGGCCAAAAAACAAATGCAGAGAATATAATTTTCGTTTTGGTGCCTCTTAATTAAATTTCCTCAGAGTCCAAGGCCCAAGTCTTTGATTAATATAATTATTAGGCTTAATTGCTACAGTGCCCCCTTGAAACATTGGTCAATTCTCACTTATCTCCCTTAAAGTTAAAGTGACTCACTTTGCCACCTTGACCGATGTTTTGTGTCTCACTTTTCCCCTCACTGTCAAGTCTGTTAAAAATTCTGTTAAAAGTGCTGACGTGGCACTAATAGGACCCACTATTTTGCTAAACTAAGTGCCATGTGTGAAAAAAAAAATAATTAAAAATTAAAAATTGTCTTTTAAAAAACTTAATTTCTGTCTATATTTTTTTAACTTCTATTAGTTGAAGGGGTAATTAGGTCAATCAATTATTTAAAAAAATTCATTCGTTTTTAAAATAAAATCTTCAAATTGAAAAAAAAAAAAAAGAAACCCAGCCAAAACCAATTCCACCCCATTGCAACCTCCCAACGACCCATCACTTTAACTTTAAAGGGGATAAGTGAGAATTGACCAATGTTTTTGGGGGTGCTGTAGCAGTTAAGCCTAATTATTATGAATGAAAGTCATATTCAAAGCCTCCTATAGCTAAGCCCATTGGCCCAACTCTTCAATGTTAACCACACTTATTCAACCATCATGGTGCTTTGTTTATAAACACCATTATAGGAGTACAGATTTTCGATGTGGGATTTTCACATAGGCGCCTCAAAAGATAGGCCTTCAAAGAAATCTATATTTGTATTGTTGGTTCAATATGAAATTATATTTAAAGCCCTTCAAGGTCTCCGTGATGCATCTGTAAATGCCCTCCAAGGTCTCCGTGAGAAATTATAGTATGGAGGGCAGAGTTATGGTTTTGATGTTGACTTCCATTCTTAGTAAATATAGGAACCAATTGAAAAAGATACCTCACAAATTTTACCTTGCCTTAATAATGACCAGATGAGCTGGAAGGTTTACACCCCATGCCAATGGGCTGGTACAAACCAATACCTATAATTTTCCATGACGGGCTCTTGATGGTTGCTGGTTCCTTGATCTTCAGTGTTTCCTGTCTTGACCGTTTGGAGCAGTGCTTTCATGCCCCTTCCCCTGTTCATAGGAAACAGCAACCTCTTTGCATTTGGCTGATGATACAGAGTTTGAACTCTGCCCCACTTCCCTTTATCTTCTAACCTGATAGGATAACATTCTCCAATGAAACTTAAATCTGGTATTTTGTTATTCAAAACTGGCATTTGCACCATTAGATGGTTTGAATAAAGAATTTGTCATGGCCTTATTGCCCTTGTTGATTTTCGGATCCTTCCTGTTTTGATGTTCGTTTCTTTTTGATGGATTTGACCTCATGCTGAGACGCATATATAAAAACCTCAACACAAGATGGTATACATTACAAGGGCCAAGGGTCTCAGAAGGAGCCTAACCTGTGCTTTTGAATGATAACGTTAATCAGTTCCCCTTCCTGTTGGCTTCCCAGAGTTAGCCTGGAATGACGTCGAAATTCATGGCCGCCCTTATGTCTCCACCGAAAGAGAAGATAAAGCCAAATGATACATCAATTGAATTTGTACTTGCATGCCATGACAACATCTCCCAATCTGTATGTATGTAAAACAAACACAGAAGATCTGAATGCTGGTAACAATATAGTACAGAGAGATAGAGATGGGGTCATATGTGTTCTGTATGTGGGGAGAGAGAGAGATTATATGTGTGTTGTGGTTTTCACAGGTTTCTTGGCCTGCAAAAGCAAAATCCATTTGTAACCATGTGAACTCTGAAGGGAGAAACAAGTATATAAGAAAGAAAAGGGTAGGGGGATTAGACCTCATTAACACTTACCATTTCTGAGATGGGAGTGAAGAAGAAGAAGAAATAAATGTGGTTTGATGGCTGGCTGCCCCTATGATTGGGTGGCCTAACTTAGCTTCCCCTAGTCCTAGTCTAGTACGTCAGTCAGGCAAGCCTTACAAGCAAACAGCGTGATCCTAATAGTTAGTCCATTTGAATGTGATTGTGTTTCTCACGTCATTTTTTTTATTTTCGAGTTTGAAAACTGCTTGTGAGCTGTGACTGTGTGAGTGAGTTCTGGTGCTCGTCAATCTCCCATATGCAAAACTGGATTGACTTAAAACATAACAAAATAAAATTAGGCCCAAAAGCCAACGAAATCTAGCCCAGTAGAAAAAGGCATTGACTTGCAGACCAAAGTTTGATGCACTGCCGCTGAATTCGGCTTGCAAATATCCATTCAAGTAGGATGTAGAATAACAAAATGAGAAAAGAAAATTCTAAGCATTTCCATTATAAACTTAGAGTTACAGCCTTCAAAGTAACAGAGCAATATTCTTGTCTTCTTCGAGTTGTGATCTCCGAGTATCATTATGAAGGGACAAGAGTCTCCAATTACTTTTGAGCCTCAATTGCTACGTTCACCCACAATATGAAATTCCTCAAGCATAAATGGTCTTCAAGTCCTGCTTCCAGGATAGAAATATTCGAAACTGTTTTCCTTTACTTTGAATTGGAAATTAGACAGCTTATTTCTTGATCTCTCCCTCCCACTGTTCAGGACTGTCAACTGCAACCAACAAGAACAATGAGGATCATAACTTTCATAATCTCGTTCAATTGTATGGATATTAAAACCATTAAGAGGAAACTTTTGGGAAGTAATACTAAACAGGAAAAGTAAACTTGCTACAAGCGTAATTGGCAGGTCACCAGCAGCAAGCCGGCAAGCAATACTAATGGAAATAGTTCTCACAATTTTTCAATTGCTAACACAGGATTGTGATCTAGTGGACTCGACGGAGAAGATATAACTTTAGGCTCTTTATTTGTTATGGATGCAGGTAGCAGCTCAAATATCTTGACTTGGAAAGACAGACTTCAAATAGCAATAGACGCTGCACAAGGTCACTAAAAGATTTGTAACAATATTTTTGTTGTTAGCTAGCATCTCCTTAATTTCTTTTCTTTTCTTTTCTTTTAATTCAATTTTTGGGATGTGTTGTCTCAACTTGAAATGCAGGATTGGAGTATCGGCACTACGGCTGTAAGCCACCAATAATCCACAGGGATGTAAAATTAACAAACATTTTGCTGAATGAAAATTTCCAAGCCAAGCTATCTGATTTTGGACTATCCAGAAGTTTCCCCTCTAATGATGACAATCATGTATTGACCGTCGTTGCTGGCACTCCCGGCTACCTCGACCCTGAGTAAGTAATTTGTTTGTTTTTTTAAAGTTTATCCATCCCTTAATTGGAGCATTCAAATCAAATATTAGAAACTAAAAAATGTGATGTTTGATTTGCAAATGGTTGTAACTTGTACTTGAAGGTACAACCTATCAAACAGGTTGAACGAGAAAAGTGATGTTTATAGCTTCGAGGTTGTGCTGTTGGAGATTATTTCCTGTCGACCTGTTTACTCTTCAAGGGAACACGAAAGAATTCACATCAGTCGGTGGGTGAGCTCAATGCTTGCAGAAGGAGACATTTACGGCATCGTTGATCCAAGGTTGGAGAGACACTTCAACACGAACACTGTATGGAAGGCTGTGGAGATAGCAATGGCATGTGTATCTCCAAATGCTATAAAAAGGCCAACCATAAGTCAGGTGGTGGTGGAACTAAAGGAGAGTTTGGCAACAGAGATTGCTGGAACAAGGCAGAGCCATGAAACTGAGTTAACAAATTCCATTGAGATACGGTCTGATAGTTCGATCTCTATGCTAAATCCCTCGGTTAGGTAGTTGAACTATTGCTTAGCTAGATCAAATCATGGGAGTTGGGATGTATTAGTTTCCTCCATTTTCTTTTTAGATCAATTATTTTTTTATGATCCTTTTGTTTAACTAAATTTGTTGTATTAATATTTATATGTAATAACTAATTGTAAGAGATTGATAGAAAACATCTATGCTCTATTATATTAAAGTTGGTGAGAGAGGCATGTACTAATATGAAAAGGTTTGATGTGTATAAAAAAAAAGTGTGCGAAGCCGTGCAAGAAGACTTGAGATGAGAGGGAGAATAATAAAAGTCTCCTCCAAGAAATGAAATAGAAGCTAACCGAGAGCTTACAAAAAAACTCCTCTGTTTTTATCTTCAGTTTTTCCTCCTTTGCATTCCATTGCCTTATGCTTGATAAATTGTGCAGCTAAGTGTGTGAGTGTGCATATATGGGTTAAAATCCATATTCCAACACCTCTGACATGTTGTGTGTTCTGATCAATATCTAGGTAAAAAGTTTTGGCATTTCTTATTCAAATACAAAATTCCTCAACCACAAAGGAAAAAATGAAAAAACTTTTAACAAATTAATCTTTTGGTGCGTAGGATTGGATTGGATTATTGGTGTAGTTGGCGTGATACAAGTCATTATGTGTAAGTCTCACATCGGAGTAATACATACCACAATTATCACAGTTTGAAAATTAGGATTTGTTACTCAAGTCATCCATGCTACTTGAGCTTAGCATATAGTTGATAAGTGCTTTTCTTTTCTTTTGAGGACCTTTCCTATTGAGAGGGGCGATAATACGCTAAACTCACACACACAATACATATGCTAGGACTCGAACTTAGGACCTTGTCTAGGAGAGTCATTACTCCAAATCACTACACTAGTGGGTCCTTTGAAGTGCTTTTCTTTTTCTTGATAGTGCTTGGAAGATGCAATATTAATAAATCCACCCATTATTAACAATTGGTAGTGGTTTAAGACTGGAAAAAAAAAAAAACTAATAATGGATCTTTCAAGCCCATTGACCCTCGCAAGTCATGATTAATCTAATGGTAATGGATCTTTCAGCGACCTCTTCTTGCAAGGAGGATATGCATTTCAAGTTTCAACTGAAACAGCCGTGTTCTGGACTTCGGTTGTTGAGTCAACATCTTGTATTTTGTTCCCAACCTGCCAGTTGATTTTATTCTATTGTATCGATGGCTAATTCGAGGACATAACCGAAATTTCGTCATTAATTTATTTCTTTGTGAAAAAAAAAATATACATTTGACTTTTTAAGAATATCCATGGTTAGGAGGACAACTGGAGGGAAGAAGCCAAGAATGTGACATGTTTTTTCACAGAAGGAAGGCTTTGAACGAGCTGATTTAAATAGTGCTTAATTTTCTTTTTAAGAAAAATCGGACAGAGAGAATGTAAAGAGAACTTTATCTGACAGTGATAAGCTAAATGTGGTTAAGAAAGGACCAACATTTATGTCTTGCTTCTCAAAGTTTAATGATGTCGCGTACAGTCAAGCAATTCCTCTTCACACTGCACCTTGGTCTTAGTTTTCTGCTCCTAGTTCATGCCCAGGATGATCAATCAGGTAGGAATATTTTGAAGGAAATAATGTTATCTATAATATATACATAGCTAATGAAAGCTTCTGTGTCTTTTTGTATGTGTGTGTCTATCTCAGAATTCATTAGCATAGATTGTGGCCTGCAGAAAGTTACCTATACCGAAACGACAACAAAAATTCGCTACGTTTCAGATGCAAGCTTCATAGACACCGGTGAAAGTAAATCTGTGTTGAATGAGTTTAGAGATGACTATCAACAACCCTACTGGTCTCTAAGGAGCTTCCCTGAAGGAACCAGGAACTGCTACAACATAAACGTCACAAGCGGCATCAAATATTTGATCAGAGCAAGTTTTGTTTATGGGAATTATGATGGCCAAGAAAAAGCACCTGAGTTTGAACTCCACCTTGGAGCTAACTTATGGGAGTCAATACGGTTTGAGAATGCCTCCGTAGGAGCAGCAGACAAAGAGCTTATACATGTCCCACTGCGAAGCTACATACATGTCTGTCTGGTGAACACAGGCTCCGGCGTTCCATTTATATCAGCAATAGAACTCAGGCCTTTACTTAATGCATCTTATCCAACACAAGTGGGGTCGTTGGCGCTTGAGATGCGATTTGATACTGGTCAAGAACCAACTGATTCTGAAGGATACAGGTGAGTGCCTAATCTCCTAGGAGTCAGATGATGAACATATACCTGGTCAACTTCTAATTGCTAATGAGACTGATGAAATATTGAAATCTATTTAGGTATCCGTTCGATGTTCATGATCGCTTCTGGGATGCCTACGACCGTGATGATTGGGCACAATTAAGTACATCACAGACCATTGACTCTGGATCTAGCAATGATTACCAACCACCTCCTATTGTGATGCGTACTGCTGCAACACCAAGAAGTGCTAATGCTTCCTTGGATTTCTTCTGGCTGCCTGCTGATGACAAGGCATCATACTATGTATACATGCACTTTGCAGAAGTTGAAAAGCTACAAGCAAACCAATCCAGACTGCAATACATTACTAGGAACGGGCAGGTCTTTTATGATTTATTTGCTCCCGATTACTTGTACACAAATACTATTTTTAGCCCTGCCGCTTTGAGTGGAGGACAATATAATTTTTCAATCCGTAAGGCAGAGAACTCTACCCTTCCACCCATCCTCAACGCCATTGAGATTTACACATTGAAGGAATTCTTAGAGTTAGAAACAAACCAAGAAGATAGTAAGTCTTTCTTCCTTACACTAGCTTTCGTACTCTCAGTTTAGTGTTTATATGTATATGATTGATTTATATGAGATTTTCTGGCTGATTCTGAAAATGTTTTAATTAGTTGACGCAATCAACATCATCAAGTCAACATATAAGATTAAAAAGAACTGGCAAGGAGATCCATGTGCCCCTCAAGCTTACTTGTTGGAAGGTGTAAAGTGTAGCTATCCTCAAAATGAGTCCCCAAGAATCATATCCTTGTAAGTATGCCTTCAAACAAAGTTACCGAAATTTTCATTCCCATTCCACTTATGTGTAGTAAATTGAAATTAATGGAACATGCAATCTGTAGGGATTTGTCCTCGAGCGGATTAACAGGGGAGATAGCTCCTTCTATATCCAACCTTACAGTGATTCAGACATTGTGAGTATATATGTCTTCCTGTGAATAAGTTACCAGAAGGCAGACAGCACATGATCAGAATTTGATTTAAATAAGTTGAGCTGTTCATTTCAGGGATTTATCAAACAACAACTTGACAGGACCAATTCCTGACTTTTTGTCTCAATTGCCAGACTTAAATGTCATGTAAGTCATTTGGTTGCCTGTATCTGGGAGGAAAAAACTACAAATCTTTTGTTATGAACAAAGTTTGGTGAAAGATTAGTGATTAATTTACCTTTGCAGAAACTTGGAGAAAAACAAGCTCACAGGCTTAGTTCCAGTAGGACTGATTGAAAGAAGGAAGAATGGTTTTCTATCATTAAGGTGTGCTATGTGAAACCCATATAACCTTCAAATTTTGTTCTTAACTCCAACTCACCACAACACTGTGTTAGAAGTTTGATCCACACAGATACTAGTTTTCTATTTCTGTTTTCCTATTTTGTTTTTAATGAAAACATTAAATGATGAGGTGTATCCCTACATAGTACAAACTATGAGAATTATAACATATGCTACGGAGGAATTTATATTCTTTGGTATAACATATCAAAATCTAACTATTGTTGCTATCAACCATTTTTATGTCAGTTTGTGTGCAAATCCAAATCTATCCGGAAATGTTTCTTGCAAAAAGAAGCGCAATTTTGTTATTCCCGTAGTTGCGTCAGTCGCTGGAATCTCCATCCTCTTATTATCTGTAGCGGCTCTCTGTTGGGGCATTAATCGGAAAAGACAACCTGGTAAGACTTCCAAATATCTGTCAAAGTTCCTTTTTTTCCTCTCTCTTATGGCCTTAAAAATGAAGAATTACGACTTGACATCAGATATCCAAGTGCATTTCTTAAAATAATAATAACATTCTTCATAAATATATGCACATTAAACTTGTGATGAAATCTTAGGAGCTGTCACAGATGCAAATCCTATCATTGCACCAGTGGAGGCAACAAAACGGCAGTTTACATACTCTGAGATCCTCCAGATCACCAACAATTTAAAGAGGATTCTTGGCAAAGGTGGATTTGGAACAGTTTATCATGGATGCATAGACAAAACTCAAGTAGCTGTCAAGATGCTTTCACCGTCTTCAGTTCAAGGGCTTCAACAGTTTCATGCTGAGGCACGTTTGTTAAAATAAGCTATGCAATCATTTTGAGCTCAATCTTATATAATAAACTAAGATGTTTCATTGGGGTCTCTTATCTTACAGGTTAATCTTCTGATGAGAGTTCATCATATTAACTTGACAAGCCTTGTAGGATATTGCAATGATGAAAATCACATAGGGCTTGTGTACGAGTACATGGAAAATGGAAACTTACAAGCATATCTATCAGGTTTGGCTGCAATTGAAACTATTCCATACCAAAATTTACCATTGTTTAGTAACTTCTGATTTGTTGGAAAACGACCGATAAATTACCGGAGGCTTTGATTTATTTTAGCACTAGAAATCTAAGTTGTGCAGAAACATTCCTTGATCTCCACATTATTTTTTATTTTCTGTGGATGCAGACAGCACTCCAGTTGTCTTCACTTGGGAAGGTAGACTTCAAATAGCTACAGATGCTGCACAAGGTGTGAAACTAACATCTCCTCTCTTTTTTCTTTTCTTTTTTTTGAATTTTTTTTTGTGATGAGAATTCACTGATGTCTGAATATGGAAATGCAGGATTGGAGTATCTGCACTATGGTTGTAGCCCACCTATTATCCACAGGGATGTGAAATCAACAAACATCTTGTTGAATGAATATTTTCAAGCCAAACTATCTGATTTTGGCCTATCCAGAAATTTCCCTGTAGAGGATGGGACTCATATATTGACAGGTGTTGCTGGCACTCCCGGGTACCTTGCGCCCGAGTAAGTTTTTTGTTTTCAGTCTGGGTAATGATATATCAAATTTAATCCCAAAGCATTTTAAATTCTAACTAATATTAATTTGGTATTGGTGCCCTCCAGTACTATTGTTTTATATACCCATCATCCTTAATATTCAAAATATTAGTAATGTCACTGAAGAAAATTAAAGATAAAGCAAGGACATGAATGAAAAAAGAAAGAAACCATATGTAAATGGACGTTCTAGCCAAATTCTTTTGCAGAAGATATGACTTGAGTTGCATGGTTGCTTGAAGGTACAATATGTCAAACAGGCTAAATGAGAAAAGTGATGTTTACAGCTTTGGGGTTGTACTGTTGGAGATTATCGCGGGTCGACCTGCTTTTATAAACGCACATGAGAGAATTCACATAAGTAAATGGGTTGGTTTGTTGCTTCCAAAAGGAGACATTTACAGCATTGTTGATCCAAGGTTAGAGAGAAGTTTCAATGTTAGCTCTGTCTGGAAAGCTGTGGAATTAGCAATGGCATGTGTATCTAAACACCCCATCAACAGGCCATCCATGAGCCAGGTATTAGTGGAACTAAAGGAGTGTTTGGCAACCGAACTGGCTCGAACAAAGCAGAGCGGCAATCACACTGAAATAGGAAATTCCATTGAGATGATGTCTCAGAATTCAATCGCTATGCTACGTCCCTCAGTTAGGTAGTAGTACGTACTAAAATAATGGGATTGGAATTTATTATTTCAATCCTTGCAGGTTGTATTATGTATGTATTGCAAATGTTTCATAATCAATAATGTATCTTCTTATCAAGAATTATGGGCATGATCAAAACTCAAATTGTATTGTGCATAACTTAACTATTTCAAATTGCCCATTTATTATTCCTATTTTATATATAATTGGCTATTAACAAATTACAATGGATGTTTCAAGCCTATTGACCTACTCAAGTCATGGATTCGACTAATAATGGAACTGTAACTCAAGCCCAGCCACTTCCACGTACATTTGAGTTGTCAGACAAAAAGAAAACATTT